AAAAACTCCAGGTGCCTTGGCTAAATCAAGGCACTGGCACCAAACTTCATTTATTTCTACTCATTTGTCACTGCCATGCAGTCACATTAAAAAGGAAAAAAGCAGCCTGTTTCACTTAAGAATGTCCTTGATAAAGTAGTAAAAATTAAGTTTATTAAATCTCAACCACTGAGTGACCATCTTTTCAATATTCTCTAACAAAAATGGAAGGACACATACAACCCTGTGCATGTGACTTGTGAACTGAACTAGCTCCTCTTTGTGGAATATGACTTTTATTTGGAAGGTGAACTAGCCACTTGTTCCATGGTATACCATTTTTTGCTTGAAAGAATCACTAGCAAACTATGTTTATTCAGACTTGGGTATATGACACATATTTTCTCAAAAATGAGTGAGCCTATTACTTCAAGAGAAACAACTGACAGTATATGTTGTCAATAATAAAACTAAAACTTTCAAGTAAATGTTAAGATTTTCAAAATGTTGCATCCAACATCATGTGCTTTACAGCTTCCCAATACTTAACACTTGTCTGATGAGATGCCTGGTGATATTAACAAATGTGATGAAAAGTGTCAACATTTAGAAGATCTGCATAATTCAGAGAACTAGTTATTTTCCAAATGACCAATATATGATGTCATAAAATTATATGTGGGTAAAAGATCCATTCAGGCTTGGTTTCATTTTGAGTACAGGCTCAGAAGAGCCCTATTACCCTATGCTTGCTTTAATGGTCAATTATTGCTGTCTTGAAGTCCTTAATAATTTTTAAATAAGGAGCCCTACATTTTAATTTTGCACTGGGGCCCACAATTTTGTAGCCAGTCTTGGATCCATTCAAAGTACAAAGGTTGGGTCAGCCTGGTGGCGCACTCGGTTGAGTGCGGCGCTTGGGAGCGCGGCGGCGCTCCCACTGAGGGTTTGGATCCCATATAGAGACCAGTCCGCTCACTGGCTGAGCACGGTATGGGCATGACACCGAGGGCTGCAATTCCGTTACCGGTCACGAAAAAAGACAAAAAAGGAAAAAAAAAAGTACAAAGGTTGACCAGTGGATTTTAACATAATAGAGTATAAAAAGTTTAAATTCCACATTGCAACTTATCTTCAGGGAACTACCATTTGTCAAATTTTGTCATACAGTAAAAAAAGAATTTTCATAATTTTCTGAGAAGGGTACTAAAATACTCATTTTCCCAACTACTGATTCAGTGTGAGGCCAGATGTTTTCATATACTTCAACCAAAACAACATAGTTCAACAGATTAAATGCAGAAGCAAGTATTAAAATCCAACTTTCTTCTTTTAAATGAGATATTAAAGAGATCTGAAAAAATACAAAACAATTCCACTCTTCTAAATTGTGGGGGGGGGAATATAGTTATTTTTAATAAAAATATGCTATTTATATTAACAAAAATGGATTTATTTTAACAATAAATATTTTTTAAATTTTATAGTTTTAATTTCTGTAAACATTGATAAACAAATGCTTTCCTGGGTCCCTAATTTTTAAGAGTCTTGAAACCAAAATATTTGAGAACTGCTGATTCAGAATGAGATACATGAAAAATACATCAGAAACAACAGACTCCTACCGCATTTCAATCATCATGTCTTCGAGTAACTCTGATGAATCCCTGCTATAGGTTCGGATGTAGAATTGACTAGGAGAGACGATATACTCCACAAAGACCCCCACAAGAGTACTGGTGTCTAATGGTGGGAGTCTGCATAATTTCTTGTTTCGTACCGCATCTGGTGGGATATCACAATTGGCCATTGCCAGGGTGAGCTGTGATTTGCTTATTTCTACTTGCTACAAGTTAAAAAAAAAATAACAAATCATTATAAATCTTTGGGTGACATTTCAAACCCTATGACATTTCTCAAGGCATATTTCATGAATCACTTTTTATCAGAATCACCTGGGAAATTATAATGTAGATTCTTGGGCTCTAGCCCAGACTTACTGATTCAGAATACCTGGGAATGGGGCCCACAATTATGCATTTAAAACATTCTCCAGGTGATTCTTACCTACATTAAAATGTGAAAACTACTGCCTTATGATACTACGTAATGAGTAAAAAAATGTGTTATGCAACTGCCCTATACATAATTGAAAACAGGATACTTCAAATATTCAGGCTGAACTGAGATGGTTCCTCATCCTACCCAACCATATCAACAGGCAAAGGTAACTTGGAGGAATAGATTCAATTTCAGACTAGTCTTCTAATCAAAAATAGGGCTTCTCAAACACTGTCATTCTAAAACATATTGTCCTCTACATCTTCCTATTGTCCATGAAAGAAGCCAGGTACAGAGTGTAGGAGGGAAAAAGAGTAAACAATTAATTACCTCCCCCTCTTTTTTTGGCAGCTGGCCAGCATGGGGATCTGAACTCTTATCTTGGTGTTATAACATTGTGCACTAACAAACTGAGCTAACTGGCCAGCCCTAATTCCTTAATAACAGATTAATGGGACATGAGAACACAAAAAGGCAAAATTGTGTATGGAGATGTAATGAAGGAGAAAAAATTAAAAGCACCCTACAAATTGAGGATGGTGCAGAGGCAAAGTGCAGCAGTTGTGATGCATACAGCCAAAACAGGGCTCCTCAATTCTTCCTCCTAAAGCCCCTGAGGGGTTTCAAGACAACACTTTGAAACACACACAAAAAAAATCAGTGATGTCATCATGAGAAAACTGTGAAATCTCAAAACCATCTGAAAACTTTATAATGAGACTTCAGGGAAAGCTAGTTATATAAAAGATCGAAAACTAGAAGAAATGCTGTATAAGGTGGACCAAAGATCTGATCTCTTCCAAGAAATGATATATCTAGAAATAAAACTTTTCTAAAAAGAATTTTGGTTTAAAGAAACATTCATTCAGTTACTTTCCATTATGGTGAATGTCCAGTGCACAAAGTCTTTAAACCTCACTCACCAGCTGTAAAGGCTTTACTACCATATTAGGCTTCTTGCAAATCTTCTGTTCTGGCTCTTTATGGTTTTTCAAAGGGCGATCCCATGCAGTCTCCTTGATAGCAGTAGCAGACAGTGAATTTCTAGGGGGACTGGAGACACAAGCTTTGGCTTCTATTTTCTTATCTGATTGAACTAAACACAAATTTCTGACTGATGAAAGAGCTCCATCTGAAATGGCCAATAGAGTAGCCTATCCATATTTGTTAAAATAATTGTACAATTGTTACTAAGCACCTTCTATGTGCCAGCAGGCACTGGGGAGACAATGACAAATGAGAGATACATACTTATCTTTGCAGACATTTTAGTGTGCAGAGATATGATGGAAGTTCTAGATGGGAACATATTCTAAATTATTTGTGTTGGGAAGTAGCAGACTTGAGGTTTGGTAAGGATTCTTAAACTTTGGTGAAAGGCTTTCTTTTTCAACATCCTGATTTCAATTTATCTCTTATTCAAATTAAGCAGTGGACATTCATTATCGCATAATGTACAATGTATGTGACTACTTAATATTCCATAATATGAAGACTTAAATCTTAGGGAATTCCAAAATCAATCATCTATTTCATTCAAGTTTACATGTGTATAATGACTAAGAGGTTAGCACATTAAAACAGACTCTAGACAGACCTACAAACATAGTAGATCCTAAAGAAATAAACTCATAAGTACACAAATATGTAGGTACAAGAATATTTATCACTGCATTTTTTATAATGGTGAAAAATGAAAACAATTTAAATGTCCATCAATGGGAGACTGGTTAAATAAATTATAATGTAGTTACATATAAGAATTATAAGTAGTTTAAAAAGATGAAATAAACTTGTACATACTAATAAGGAAAAACATCCACAACATATAAAATATAAAAGGCAAGGACTTATACAATATTTATATAATACTGTTTTGTGTTCGAAAAATTTTACATGTGATAATGAGCAATATTATATAGAAGAGGTCGAGAAAGACACACACTAAAACTATTAATACTACTTACCTCTGTATTGTTGGAATTGTTTAAACAAGTATATACTGCTTTTGTGGTTTAAAAATAAAATCTAAATATGCTTACATATACATTGAAAAAAGTCTGGAAGGCTTATAAAAATCCTAATAGCATTATTTTGGGGATGTGAAATGATGGGAAATGTTCACTTTCTGTTTTCTACTCATCTGTGCTATTTGAATATTTTTAGAATGAACATGAGTTATTTTAATAATCAGAAAAATCAGTAAAATATTTACATTTTGGAAAAAGATAGCTGTCTATCATAACTACTTGTAAAAGCTTATAAAAATACAAGTATCATATTGTACTATAGTTTTGCATTGCTACCTTGGGGAAACTGAGTAAAGGGTACATGGAATCTTTTTTTTTTTTTAAATCAGTAAAATATTTACATTTTGGAAAAAGATAGCTGTCTATCATAACTACTTGTAAAAGTTTATAAAAATACAAGTATCATATTGTACTATAGTTTTGCATTGCTATCTTGGGGAAACTGAGTAAAGGGTACATGGAATCTTTTTTTTTTTTTATTTTGGCTTTTTCTTTCAATTTTTCTCTCTGTATTATTTCTTACAACTGCATGTGAATCTACAATTATGTCAAAAATTTCAAAAAAACAGAAAAACCCAACAACTAAGTCCCATAAAAGAAGAACAAACAAAAATCAAATGCCCTAAATGCAATGTAGTATCCTGCAATGGATACAGAAACACAAAAAGTATATTCTTCAAAACACTGGTAAAATCAGAATGAAGTCTGGAGTTTAGTTATTAGTATTACATCCAATGTTAATTTCTTAGTTTGGACAAATATATCATGGTAATGTGAGATGTTAGTATTAGGGGAAATTGGATGAGTGGTATACGGGAACCCTATACTACCTTTGCAACTTTTCTGGAGACCTAAAATTATGCCTCCCCCAAAATTTTGAAAAGATAAGTGCTGAGTCCCAATGTACACTCATTTATTCTGAATCTCCATGGACTCCCGTTTCTAAAAAGCGTTTGATGCACAGCCTGAGGTAAAAAGCACTGAATTATCAGACCACCATNAAAATTTTGAAAAGATAAGTGCTGAGTCCCAATGTACACTCATTTTCTGAATCTCCATGGACTCCTATTTCTAAAAAGCGTTTGATGCACAGCCTGAGGTAAAAAGCACTGAATTATCAGACCACCATTTGTTATTTCCTTCAGAATTATCAAAATCTGGACAATGAAAAAAGTAAATTTTAAAAATTCAGATGGTTTTTTTTTTAATCCCTATTAATCTTATTACAACAAATACCACCAGAAAGGAGGTCATTAAATACAAAACATTTTATGGCTAAGCACTATTTTGTGCTTTCTCTGTTCTTACAAGGACAATTAAAAATGACAATTATAGGGCCGAGCCCGTGGCGCACTCGGGAGAGTGCGGCGCTGGGAGCGCAGAAGCGCTCCCGCCGCGGGTTCGGATCCTATATAGGGATGACCGGTGTGCTCACTGGCTGAGCACGGTGCGGCTGGTCTCAAAAAGGACAAAAAAAGACAATTATAAGCTGAACCCAGTCACAACTAAGCAAGCTGCTGCCACCACCACGGGGCCCCACCAGGGTCATGAAGCATGGAACTGGGGGGAGAAGCTGAACCCAGCCACAACTAGGCAAGCTGCCGCCACTGCCCCAGGCCCCAGCTGGGGGCCTGAGGCATGGAGCCACAGGAAGCCAAACCCAGCCGCACACCAATAACACCATTTCCACATGGGTAGCCCACCATAGCCACTGCAATTGCCATGGCTGCTGCAAAAGTGGCTAGTCTCTATAGCAGCCACTGTATAGATGCCATGCCAGATTCTCAACTGAACTGACACAAGGAGAGGCACCAGCAGAGACCAAAGGAAAAAAAAAAAAGAGGTCCTCTCTCTTCAC